ATTGTTTATGAAGTCTGCTTATTATGTCCTATCAGATGTAAATTTTCTAACTCATATAGGCTGAATTGAAAATTTCAGTTGGAGAAAACACCACAGCCCCACCAAAAAAAATATCTAAATACGCCMCTGGTACATCGGAAGACTGTATTGATATTATTCATTGTAAGTAAGTTATGACTATTTTTAAACAGTTTTTTTTTTTTGTGTACATTTTAAAACAATCATAACTTACTCGGAATCGTAAATCTCTACGGTTGGCATTTTTCGCCATCTGTAATTATGTTAAAACGTTGTAGGTTGTAATCGTTAATAATAAATGTTTAGCTTTCCCAGATTCTGTTATGCAGCAAGATGATCTATAATATCACTATAAATCATGTGTAGAGCGAAGTAGTCCCCGTACGCAATATAATGATATTATTATGATGTGGGAAATAATAAGTACTCACCGTCACTCATAACTTCGTCGGTATTTCTCGTTTACAGCAAACTGCAGGTGTATTTGGAAATGAAAAATGTGCAGAGTTCAATGAGATGATCGCGACCTGCGAGTATCCGTTGTGGTATTGATTAAAGTTTAACAAACCGAAGACTTCTATAGCGATAAATTTCAGAGGTTATTATAGTAACAATAATTATTCGTCCGCTGCGTTCGTGTCGCCTGAAAACAATGAGAACGATAATGAAGTGTGTTATATGCAGTATGCCGTATTATTAATCATTATAATTATTATTATCTAATGTTGTTTACTGTTATTATTATTTGTAGTTTTCTCCGAAAGTCMCAAGTCAAAACCTTTGCTATGCGTTGTCACTTGTCGGAGTGTCGTCGGTTGTTGATAAGATAAGAGACTGTTAACACTGTCGGCATTCCGCGCCCCGCCCCCCGCGGAACGCCTAGTAGAGTGAAAAGCGACATTTTCGTGCCGTGACGTCATTTCCGAACTTCTGAACGTAGATTATTATTTTTTGTTACAATAAAAACTCAATAATAGGTGCCGGTGGTAAGTACAATAGGGGCTCATCGACCTCGATATTATATTGTTATGTTGTGGTTTCTGGTTCCCCTGGAAATTTATTTTACGTCCGCACGTCGTCTACCGCCACATTGTAATTAGACCAGCAGTGTTCTGTGAATAAATAAAACAATATTAAAAATGAC